TGTACGTGGATGAGCTGGGAAATTGGACGAGCTGGGAAATGGCGGCATCGCCCACCCAGAACAAGACCCACGGAGCTCGTGACCCTTCACCACGGAGGGTCAGACTCCTGCTCCCCCCATACACTCGTGCTCAAACCCCAGTTTCCACGTCAAACTTAATCTTCCCAACCTGAACGTCCCCCCGCATTGAGGTCCCTCCCTTGGGGCTTCTCCCCAAACAAGCTGACCCACCACCAGCCATTGCTCATGATGCTCGGAGGAGGGTCAGCGCTGGCAGCATGGGGACCATGGGGGGGCCGTGCTGGCGTGCAGCATCGCTTCCCCTCTCGGAGGCCCTTCCCGGGTGCGGGAGGACACCCGCACGGCAGCCAGCGCTCGGCGCAGAAACAACTCAGCCAAGCACACAGCACGGCCAGGGATGTGCTAGCGCAGAGCAGACCTAAGAGGAGGCAGGATGGTGTTACTTCAGGACACAGTGCTGGCCGCCTCCGCTCCCTGGGAAGGGTGGGATGGGGTTTTGTCCTTTTTTCACTCCTTTTTCCATCTTGGCCATTTGGAAGTGTAGGGCAGAGCTGATCCCCGCTCCCCTCTGCAGTTGCGAGACCACCGTTGTGATCAGCAGAAGGGCTACGACGAGGCCCGGAGGTCTCATGCAGAAGGTTTGAGCCGAACGTCCCTCGAGCGTGAGGTGTTTCTGGCTGTGTGTTTATTCCTGTGTGTATATTATGGTGGGGTCCAAGCTCCCACCTGCTCCAGTGCTGGGGTACCAGGCATGAGCAATCCTGCCAGCACTCACCTCTGTGCTGCCCAGTTGTTGTTTCATACCTAGTTTGGCTAGTTTGTTTAAATCTCCAACTTCTGGAGTCAGGTGAATAAGGGAAATCCCAACTTCCTTGTTAAATAGTGGGCTGGGCTGCTTCTGGCTGCAGAAGAAGCAGATCCCAGGGCTGCTGGGGCGTTCAGGCAGTGTTACAGTAGGACAAGCCATGGGCTACAGCTCTTGGCAGGTAAGACGTGGTCTCCTTGTATGGGCACAGTTTCAGTGGGACCAACACTCCCTTTTTTTGGTGCTTGCCGTGGCAGCACCTTCAGCTAGTGCAAAAGGCTTTGGGGTGACTGTGTTGCCCTGAGGATGGGAGTAACAGGTGGGATGGGATGGGATGGGATGGGATGGGATGGGATGGGATGGGATGGGATGGGATGGACGGAGCCCCCATTCATTTAAAGGTCTGGCCTGAAGATTGATCTTGACACCTGCAAGTCCTAGAAGCCGGCTTAACTAGGCACTTGAGGGTCTCTTATACAAACCTTGGAGTCGTCTCCTTAGCTGTCTCCAAGTCTCCTTCTCCCACAGCTCCAGCAGGCAGGGTCAGCCCAGTCCACAGGAGCCGGCTGTGGCTGCAGCGCTCCAGCAGCTGGAGCTCAGCGTTTCGGAGCCGCCGTTGGCCGGGTGTTAGCGGGAGCCCTCGGGTGGGCTGAGCTCAGCCCCCCGGCTGCTCTGAAGCCTTCCTCCCACGCAGGCTCCCGAGAGGCGCTGGCTGCACGGCCGGTCCGTCCCGGTCCCGTCTCCCTCACCCTGCTGTGCCAGGAGGGATGCGCAGCTGTGAGCAGCCTCTCCCCGCACCGGGCACCCGCAGCGGTCCAGGGGCTGCGTTCAGGAGCTGGGATGGGGGTGGCTTGGGGTGATTTCTCACCCCCTCCTTTCTCCTTTCTGCATTGTCAAGTGCGATTCCGAGCTGGCCCGTTCTCTGTTGCTTGTGGGAAGCTTCCCCCGACTCCTCTCCAGCCCCTGGGGGGGGCTGCAGCATGTCGGGAAGGTCCGTCAGTCCCTCATGGCAATGCCCAAGCGAGGGGTCTGTTGCAGAGCCGGCTCCTAGTGAGCAGCTGAACCTCAAAGCCCACGTCCTCAGCAACGGCAGGGACATGCAGGGGGTGTCAGCGAGGAAAGGAGCCACCAATCCGGGGCTGGAACCGATGGGAATTTTGCTGGTGGCTTCTCCAGGACGCAAGGACTAGAAAAGGCTGTTTTCTCACACCCTGGGACTTCCCGACCACTGCAACGGCTGCGGGGATGGTGCCGCTGTAGCTGCAGCAATAGATGTCCTGGGGAAACCAGGCAAGCGGCAGAGGATTGCGGCTAAAACCGTACAGCTCATCCAGGAGCAGCTTGTACCAACTGTGCAGTGACGTGTCTTCGGGTTGTTGCGGCACGACCGCTCCTTTGTGGGCTGGGAAAGTAAAGCGGGGTGCCGGGAAGGGGGATGTGTGCCCGCACCAGCGTGGCAGCTCCCAGTGAACCCCGAGAGGCACCATCCCTGGTCACCCCACAGCACTGGGGACCACTTTTCCTACAGCAAAGGGCTCCTGGGCCGGGGGCAAAGAGCCTGTGCGGAGTTAACAACCCCCCGCAGCCCCTTCCCTGCTGTCTGGCGGTGATGGAGGACGTGCTGGAGTTGGGCGGGGCAGAGGGGCTGGGGGGGGGGTCAGGCATCCTTGGTAGCTGGAGGGTTCCTAACGTTACCGAAGCGACCGTCTGCCGGGACCGCGTCTCTCGGTGCCTGCGTTCCTCATACTTTCTCCAAGACCACAGTGGAGCTGCAAAGCACTTCCTTTTACCAGGATATTTATTACTAAATATATGAATCTGGGAGCCTGTGGAGCGTGAAATTAGGAACAAATGTAAAAAGGAGGTCTAGACAGGAATTGTTCTGCTTATGGGCCTCCACATGCGCGGCTTTCCTCCCCCTTTGCGCACTGGAGAGTTTAATGCTTCCAGGTACGCAGCTTTAATCAGACAAGTATGTTATAGGAGAAAAAAAAAGAATGAAATCTAAATGGTCTTGCTCTGGATGGAGCAGTGGCTGTGATGCCACGTCTGGCTGACCGTGGCTGGACAGAAGCTGTGAAAACGGGCTCTGTGTGACCCTGCCTTGTCCCCTTGGGGTAGGCGGCTGCTTAATTAACCGGCAAGGAAGCCGAGGAGCCCTCCCTGCCCGAGCCCTGCCTGCCACCTTTCACCTTGGGCTGGCCAGGAGCTGGCTAAGACGCTGATGCTCTCTGATGAGCGCAGCGCCCGTCCCGGAGAGGCTGCAGGGCTGAGTCCGGCCGCCCCAAAGCCACATCCCGCGCCGGCCCTGCGCGCCCCTGCCCTGAGATTTGTGGGGGCACGGTGATCGCAAAAGGGAGCACCAAAGGAGGCACGGATGGGCTCTTCCAGCCGGCTCTGCTGGGTCAGTGCATGTGCCCACGGCACCCGGCACAGCCCGAGGTCTGCAGCCGAGCGCCTCCATCCCGCTTTAAACAGCAACCAAAGTTTCTAAATCACTAACGCATTTTGTGCAAACCCTTCCCCTGACTGCGTTCCTCCCCCCCCACCCCCCCGAGCCTCCTCAGAGTGTTTTGCCGGAGGAATGAGGGCAGGATTTGGCCCGGCGCTTGCCCCGTGGCCGTGCGGTGCTAGAAGGCATTCAGACGTCGTTATAAATTACCTTCCCTCCTAGAGCGCTGCTCAGCAGCAACATAAAATGTGATACTGCTTTATCCATTCAGCACTTACCCAACTTTAGCAGGACATTAAGCGCCTGAAAATATGCCACAGGTTTATTTTCTTTGGAAGCGGGTTAAATCCCTGACAGATACGGTTGCTTTTCCTCGGGTGCTGAAGTAATTTGGGACTGGGGTGGCTGTTTTTTTTGTTTTAACCTGATAGCGTGAGCTGGAGGCCAGCTTTGTTAAAGCGCTTGTAGAGTAGGTGGTCAGGGTACGATTCCTCTCTTAATTTCTGTCGCTTCCCCCGTTGCCAGCCTGACGCTTGCGGCACGGAAGGGCTGCCGGAGCTTTAGCTGCGGAGCGATGCTGGTGGCAGTGCCGCTGTCTGCGTAGCTGCTCGCAGGTGTGTGCAGGCAGGTACGCATCTCCTCAGCATCCTTCCTGTGGCTTGGTCTTATTCTGCGCGGGGTGGAGGGAAAATGAAGCTGTCCCACGAGCTCTCGGGGCAGGGATGCTCAGAGCATGGTTCGTGCGCTGCGCGTGATGCACAGCATCTGCCTTCTGGGTGAGCCCACCAAAGGGTAAAAACAGGGACCTTCCACCGCTACCCGTTCTGTGTCAGCACCCACATTCCTCTAAGGGGCTCTGCAGGGAGAGAAGGGTGCTGGTGGCACCCCAAAACGCAAGCGTGGGGCCAAGCCGAGCCGCGGCGTCTCTGGGATGTCCAGAGCACTGTGTCCCGGCTGCAGCATTTCCTCTGTGGAGGGAATGAACAGTTCGCTCGAGGCTGTCAGCAGCATCATCCTGGGATGTTGGTGTCGTCCCCCCCAACACTGTGGCTTGGCCATGACAGAGACGAGGAGCTTGGTGCCTCCTGCAGCGGGCAGACACGTCCCACACCTCAGCTCACTGCTCAGGGAGGGGAAAGCGCCTGTCCCTGCAGTCATTAAAGGCTCACTTAGCAGCTCCTGTTATTCCAAATTAAAATACCACATTGTTTTCACGGGGAAAATGGATTATAGGCTCAGAGAAAAATGTGTGCAGCTCAGAAATCCTTATTGCAAAGCTCCTTCTCCCGTCACTGAAGGTCTCTGCCACCAGGCGGGAGCCGGGAGAGTGCCCTGGGAGCCATGGGCACTGGGCAGAAGGTTTTCTCTCCCCCTTGGGGTCACCCTTCCTGCATGCAGAAGAGCCCGATGTGACCCCACAGCTGCCGCTAACTAAATATTTCACCCACCGCATGAAGCTTTTTATTCCCCTGCAGCTGCAAGGTGGTATTTTAGGGGGCAGGGGGACTCCCTGACGGCCTCCACAGGTGCCCAGTGCCGGGATCTGGTCTCATCCTGCCCATCACCTCCCACAGAGGCGACCGGGTTTCTAGTCCCCAGCAAACAGGGGTGAGCTGAGGGTTTGGGGACGTGTAGCCCAGAGCATCACCCAGCGCCAGCCCCCACCGCACCCCCTCACCCCCTGCGCTGGCTTTTGCAGGCTGTTAATGGAGAAGAGGGCGGATGACAGCCGGGACCGTGGTCATCACAGGTGGAATATTAGCGACTGTCATTTTGCTCTGTATCATCGCCGTCCTCTGCTACTGTAGGCTCCAGGTAAGGCTGGGGGTGGGGGGTGGGGGGATGCGGCCCCGAA